ATTGACCCCTCCTCCATAAGGTCAATTGTTTGTTTGGCACTTTTGTTGGGCTTTTAATGTTTATGTTTCGATGTTAATGAAAGTGGGAGGAAAATAGGAAATCAATAGAAAACACTAGGGGGGATTTGCCAGGGCTGATCAAGATTCAGACTTATTATTTCAGAATTGTTATTATGTATTGAAAATTGTAAATGAAAACCTATTTTTAAAACATTAGTTGTGATGCCTAAGTTGTCTTGCACAATTTTTAAACAATACAAAAATTGTAGCATGAAAATGGATCTTGTTATTTTTTATTGGTCAAATTTTTTTAATATCTTTGCATCCCTAGTTCAGTCACACTACAGTACTTAAATAACTGAATATCCCACTCGAAGTGTTTTTGTGTGGTTGTGATTGTGGTTAGAGTACATTTGAGAAAAGCAGTTTGCTGACTGTTTATAATGCATAACATATACTGACGTTATAAATGATTTGACCATGAAAATTAGTCCAAATCCAATTAAATGAGGTCATTGGGGATGCCTCTGGGATGGATACCTGCTGTAAACAGGGCTGCTGATATGCTAATAGTTCAGACAGATATACCTGATAGCTGCACATTTCCCTCCTGCCTTATCAGACTTCCCTGAACAGCATGCATGTCTCTTTAAGCTGACTGATATCATTTGTGAGAGCAACATTATCTGTACTGAATGTTACCCACAAGCAAATTAATGTGTATTCCATTTGTCAAGTGACCATCCACATGCAGTAATATCTTATTGAGATATTAGCAGTACCTGCTTCTGCTTACATTTCAACTGAAAAATGTCATATTTGAAGGAGGAAACTGTTGTGAAAACTACTTCACCTGGAGAGTCAGATCAAGCAACACACTAAAAATATATTTGTTTAGTCAACTCACTCATTCGCTTTCTTTCAGCTTAGTCCCTGGCTTACAAGGGACCAACACTGTGGAAAGAACCATCAATTATTCTCTAGAATATGTTTCATAATGTGGATTCCTTTCCAGCCACAACCCAGCAGTGAGAGTGCTGGAAAACACCCGCATGCTCTCCTATTTACACATTACAATCTAGTTCATCCAGTTTATCTAAATTGCATGACTTTGTCATTTGGGGGAAACCGGAGCACCCACATCAGCACGGGGAGAACATGCAAACTCCTCAGAGAAATGCTTGGTTCAGCTGGTACTCAAACCAGCTTGCTGTGAGGCAACCGTGCTAGCCAATTAGCCACCATGCTGCTCTTTAGTCAACAACTTTAAATGAATAATTGTGTATTTCTTGGTAGTTTTTAATATGATCATATTATTGTCAGTTCTTTATTGGTTTGTAATTTTTTCCCAGTAAACAAAGTGAAAAATATCAGCACACTGCTATCAGGTGTCATGATTAAATCCTTGTGGGTTGAATGATTGTAATAAAAAATCTTTTTTTTTTTTAAGATTAAAGTGGCAGTGTGTCTATGTTTTACTTTGTTTACTGTGTTTGGCTTGGTCGAGCACCTGCCTTCAACAGTTTCCTAGATGTCCGCAAACTGATGTTTTTATTGTAATTCTTTTTCCTCACTACATCAGTTACTGTAAGTACAGTCTTGCATTATTGTCTTTGCACAAGTTTCATGTGCGGTTTTTGTTTTGTTTAAGTAAAAGTAATTCACATTGTGGGCGACGCAGTGGCGCAGTAGGTAGTGCTGTCGCCTCACAGCAAGAAGGTCGCAGGGTAGCAGGTTCGAGCCTCTGCTGGGTCAGTTGGCGTTTCTGTGTGGAGTTTGCATGTTCTCCATGCGTTTGCGTGGGTTTCCTCTGGGTGCTCTGATTCCCCCCACTGTCCAAAGTTATGCGGTACAAGTGAATTGGGTAGGCTAAATTGTCCATACTGAATAAGTGAGCATCTGCTGCATAAAAACATGCTGGATAAGTTGGCGGTTCATTCCGCTGTGGCGACCCCAGATAAATAAAGGGACTTAGCCGAAAAGAAAATGAATGAATGAGTGAATTCACATTGTAGATGTTACACTGCAAGCTTAGCAAGCTTACAGCCCCAACCAATAGATTGAATTTGAGTGAAACTTAAGAACAAGTCACAGATGCTTATAATTAGTGAGCATAACAAGCTCCATCACCTACAGGATATGCCCCAGAATGCAATGTGATTGTGATGTTACAACAGTGTAGTTTCTAGGTCCCAGGAGTTTAGGGCATTCAATTTAAAGTCATTCAGATGTTCTGCCAGTAGTGGACACTTGTGTAACGTAATCAATGACGTCTATCTAAGGGATTGAGACAGAGGATCCCAATAGAACTGTACTGCAGCCAAGATGTGCATGACCATTGCAGGTGTGTCCTCCTGCTATAGTCGGCACCACCCTGCTGAAAAATCCAGCTTAAACCAGCCTAGGCTGGTTGGCTGGTTTTAGCTGGTCGACCAGGCTGGTTTTAGAGGGGTTTTGGCCACTTCCAGGCTGGTTTCCAGCCATTTCCAGCCTGGTCTTAGCTGGTCAGGCTGGGAGATGACCAGCTAAAACCAGCTTGACCAGCCTAGCCAAGCTGGGAGTCCAGCCAAAACCTTCTATATCCAGCTTAAACCAAGCTGGTCAAGCTAAGGCCAGGCTGGAAATGGCTGAAAACCAGCCTGGAAATGGCCAAAACCCCTCTAAAACCAGGCTGGTCAACCAGCTAAAACCAGCCAACCAGCTTAGGCTAGTTTAAGCTGGGTTTTTCAGCAGGGCACTCTCCCGCACATTTTGCCGAGCACCGAAACTATAAGATCATCGGAACTTAAAAAGCCGAACCACTTCCATACCACTGCATTAGTCTTTCCTTTCTCATCAACTAATTTGCCTGCAGGATTTGGACATGCCTCTAATGCTTTTGCCCCATGCGCTTTAGACTTTATGATCGTTAAAATAGAACCTAAAATGTTGCAAACCAACAGAGCACAAGAAAATTGACATACTGGACCCTTTTTCACAAGATAAGTTTAGCTGTCATCAGAATCCTAATTCCTTCAAAGTTTTTTAATATATTTGTCATAGCCCTTCCTTGTCTGTCGTTTCTGTGTTGTCGTCTTTATATGTATCTAAGTTTGTGTTGTGTCTGAACACATGGCTCAGCCTGTGTTTGTGTTCACCATGTTCCTCCTTTCATTGGTTCCTACTGCCACGCTCCCTTGTTTAGCCCTCGTCTAGTCCTCGTTAGTCTCAGTGTTTACACCTGGTCCTCATGTTCTTTCCTCCCTTTATAATGTGCTCTCTTCCCTCATGTCTTCGTTGCTTCTTGTTACCTGTTGTTACTATACTGTGCTTGTTTATCTGTGCTGTTGTTTGTGAAAGTGTTGTCTTTGTCTAATGTTTGTTTGTGTTTTTCAGTTGGACTTCAGTATCATCCCCATCTGGTTAATCCTTTTCAAGTTTGTTTTTTTAAGTTACTCTATTATCTTATTTAGTAGCTTTAAGTCACAGGTGTCAAACTCAGTTCCAAAAGGGCCGCAGCTCTGCACAGTCTAGTTCCACCCCTAATTAAACACACCTGATCAAACTAATTGAGTCCTTCAGGCTTGTTTGAAACCTACAGGTAAGTGTGTTGGAGCAGGGTTGGAACTAAACTGTGCAGGGCTTCGGCCCTTTTGGAACTGAGTTTGACACCCCTGCTTTAAGTGTTTAGTTCCTTTTTATTGGTTTTGTTTCTTCCAGTTAATTATCAGCATGTTAAAACTAATTTCATTTCCCTTTGCTTTTTAGTTTGTCAACAGTTTCTGTATTTCATTTTGTTATTTAGTTTATGGTTTTGTTCCTTAATTTAGTTTAGTTTTCCACGCGTGCCTAGCCCTGTCTGCTTAGTTCCTGGTTGCTGGTGTCCTGTCAGGCTGCTGTTGGTGAGACCTACTCAGGATCACTGGTCAGCAGTACCTCCAAGGCCTTTACCATTTGTCTGGCTGTAGCACTGTCTTCCTTTTTTCTGCCAGTTCCACCCAAGACTCCCCTGCTGTACCCTATTCTTCATTGCTGGACTGTTTCACCTTACCCCTACAGATCACCTTATTGTCGATAAACACTCCCTGATCTCATACTGCATTTGGGTCCTCCTTCCTCTGACTGTCATAATATTGATGCACATTTATAAAGTTATGCTTGTATTGAATAATATTTGCAAAAAAAAAAAATATATGTATACAAAAAAATTAATTACCAAAATATCCAGGTTGGAACATTTGGTCTAATAATGAAAACCATAGTACAGACTTGTAGAGGAAAAAATTCACTGGCAAAACCAAAGGAAAGAGGAAAGAGAATGACAAGATTTGCAACAGATCAATGGGAAAGTGAATGTTGGTTCAATATGCACTGTATTCGGGGTGCATACCGAACCATCTTAAATTGCTTGACATCCAGGGCTAAGGATGGCCATTAGAGGTCATTGGTTGGATAACAGGTTAATCTGGGTTCATAACTCCACCAAAAAAATATTAGGATACAACAGCAGATTATCAGGCTTTCCACAATATATGTAGACAAAAGCATTGAGGCAAACAAAGCTGCTTCTCCTGAGGAGTTTGCAAAGATGTCCAACCTGCTTTCCGCTTGGAGGCTCAAGACAAAGCACAAAAAGTCTAGACTAGATTATAGCAATGAAAGAGCTTGGTCAGGACCGAGTGAACCTGTTGAGCACACTATACAGTCTTAATAAAAGACAGCATGAAAGGAGACAAATAGGAAGTAAATTAAGGAAGCCACAGGAGCCTCAAGACAACAACGTATACAGACAACTAACAAAAGGATCACCACAATCAGACATATTTTTGTCATGGCCGTTAACTTTTTACTGTAATGTTGAATAAAAGCAGTACTGAATAGAGTCTAAATATGCAATATTATGCAAAATAAGACTTTATCTTGTACATGTCAATATTTACAGGTGATTTTCTGAGCCTGCATGAATATGAGTGTTTGTGAGATGGTACATGTTCAAGTCTCACCACCATCTTCCTAAACAGGTGGCCCAGGCAGCGGTAAAGGTACACAGTGTCTGAAGATTGCCGAGCGCTATGGCTTTGAATATGTCTCAGTGGGAGAGCTACTCAGGAAAAAGATGATCCACAATGCCACCAGCAACAGGAAATGGAGCCTGATTGCTAGGATAATCACCAATGGGGAACTGGCACCACAGGTATGTACTGAACATGAGACAGGAAGTCAGAGTATTTACAGATCAACTTTGGGATTCAAAATAAAAGCTAGAACTAGTTTTATTAGAAATACCACAAATCTGTCATAAATTAGAGTATGTTGAACTGTTGTACTGATTTCAAGATGGATATTCGGCCTTGTTTGATTCATGTTTTTTGCATCAAATATTGAGTTTTCTGTTTTTTTATACACAGACAAAAGAAAAAAGCATTGTAAAATATTTTCCCATAATTTATGTGGGGGCAGCAAGGTGGCTCGGTGGTTAGCACTCTGGCCTTACGGCAAGAAAGAAGCTGGTTTGAATCCCAGCTGGACCAGCTGGCATTTCTGTGTGGTGTTTGAATGTTTTACCCGTGTATGTGTGGGTTTTCTCCAGGTGCTCCCGTTTCTCTCACAGTCCAAATGCATGTGCTATGTTCATTCATTTTCTTGTTAGCTTAGTTTTTTTATTAATCCGGAGTCGCCACAGCGGAATGAACCACCAACTTATCCAGCAAGTTTTTACGCAGCGGATGCCCTACCAGCCACAACCCATCTCTAGGAAACATCCACACACACATTCATACACTATGGACAATTTAGACTACCCAATTCACCTGTACCACATGTCTTTGGACTGTGGGGGAAACCGGAGCACCCGGAGAAAACCCACGCGAAGGCAGGGAGAACATGCAAACTCCACACAGAAACCCCAACTGAGCCGAGGTTCGAACCAGCGACCTTCTTGCTGTGAGGCGACAGCACTACCTACTGCGCCACTGCCTCGCCGCATGTGCTTTATGTGAATTGAATAAATGAAATTGGTGTATGTGAATGAGTGTATTGTGCTGTGGCGACCCCTGATGAAAAAGAGATCCAAGGCGATTGAAAAGTAATAATAAATGAATGATAATTTATTAGTGCTTTGAAAAAGTTTTAGGTTTGTAAAGCTAATTCATAGATGCTAATGCTATAAGTTGTCAAGAAGTGTTAAAAGCTTGTAATGTATTATAATACACGTCATTGCTCTATGATGTAAAGTTTATTTATAAACTAATTTGAGAGGAGGGCTTGCTTATGATTGATCACAGCTGGTTGCATGATTCAACAATTGGATGATTTCTAACCCACTATAAATACCTTCATCTTGAAGACTCCCCCCTTCCACCTCTACTCCTCCTCCTTTCCCTTAATTAAGTGGCATGGCAGCCCGGTGGTTAGCACTGTTTCCTCACAGCAATAACGTCACTGGTTCAAGTCCTTAACAGGCCAGTCGATGTTAACTTGTTCTCCCCTTTCCAAGGTTATTATAGTTAACGAAAACAAACGAAAAAATAAAACCTAAAATTAAAAATAATTGTGGTTAACTGAAATAAAAACAAGAGTTTTAAAAAAACTAGAACTAACTGAAACTAACTAACATTTTAACAAAAACCTTCTTTGTTTTCATCTTTGTAAATGTATTTAATACATAATATTGCTGTAAGCCTTTTAGAAGTAAATCTAATTCGCGCTGCAGGTGTTTGACTTGTACGGCAACTCAGAGTTTGTAGTCCTGCTGCCATTTTCCAGATCGAGCCAGTTCTCCTCCAGTCATCCTCGCTGTTGCTCCCGTGACAAAAACAATAAGTGGACATGACAGCAGCACAGTGAAAGCAGTAAATACAGAGGCTTAAACTATTTAACACGTTTGTGCCCAATAATGGGTTTTTATTTCTGTATTGCGATTGCGAACTAATCTTTTTAACTGGATCTTCTAAGTGAACCGGTTGAACTAGCTCACCAAATCGAACTGAATTATTTGAAACTTTTTGCATCTCCAGTAAGCACTTGTCCACAAAGTACTTACTTTCTAACAAGCCTAATACCCCACTCCGACTCTAAATAAGCCAACAATCTTTTTCAGTTATTAGAGTATTGTTATAATAAGATCAAATTTGACAAGCGGCGAACTGTTAATAATACTTAAGGCTGCTATCTTGTGGGCTGTTGTGTTTGAATTTGAAGATGGGTAGATGGTAGTAAAAGATGATAGTGTTTGTGTGTCCTTTAAATACAGGTTTCAGAAAATGTATGTATGGAGTTTTTATTATACAACATTTATTCTGATGATTTAAAATCTTGCATCTAACAAATATCCTTATTTAGGAAAAAAAACTAATAATGAAACTAATAAAAACTAAACTAAAACTAAGTCATTTCAAAATGTAGAAACTAATAAAAACTAGTGAATCTGCCTCTAAAAACTAATTGAAAATATCTGAATTTAAAAACAAAAATCAAAACGAAATAGAAACTAAAACTAATGAAAAATCCAAAACTATTATAACCTTCCCCCGTTCTCGCGTAGGTTTCCCCCAGGTTCTCCGGTTTCCTCCCACAGTCCAAAGACGTGTGTCATAGGTAAATTGAGCAATGCAAATTGGCACTTGACCTTATTCTAAAATGCGGGAGTGCGCTCATTTTTGCGATTGTTTTGGAACACCCAATTCAGTTGCCTAATAAACGGCAGAAAACAGTCAAACTAGTTGCTCTATAAACAAGTGTGGTCATAACTTTACAGACCAAGTAGAATACTATAATGAGAAAATATATGCCGGCAGTTAGCTCTCTGCAACTCTCACATGGTTGCCCACTGAAGCTAAGCAGGGCTGCGCCCGGTCAGTTCCTGGATGGGAGACCACAAGGGAAAGCTAGATTGCTGCCGGAAGTGCTGTTAGTGAGGCCAGCAGGGGGCGCCCAACCTGCGGTCTGTGTGGGTCCTAATGCCCCAGTATAGTGACGGGGACGCTATACTGCTCAGTGAGCGCCGTCTAGAGACGAGGCTAGCAGCTTAATTCTTAAGACTGAAATACCATAAAACCTTAGAGGAATGAAAAAGCTTAATATTATCAAGTGGAAGCCAATGTTTGCTAAAATGCCCTTAATTTACTGTCAAAGACTTGCAACATGACCCGATGAAAGCAGTCTATAAGAATAACACTAGACAAGCATGGCCTTCATGTCTGGACACCTTGAATACTTGGATTTGCTACAATTCATTTGTAAAGCAAAATGTAAAAGTAAAAATGGCAAAGCTTATAACAATATAATATCTGAAGTAAAAAAAAAGGAAGGGGGCCAGTCTTGTTATAAGGATGCTCTGCTGTTGCAGGAGGCGGAAAATGCTTGAAAATTAAGGGCCATTTTTGCAATATTTTGAAATACTTTGCATTATATCAAATTTCTAAATGGGGTTTGATCAGTGTTGGGTAAGTTACTTTAAAAAAGAAATAGATTACAAATTACTGACTACTACTGTGAATTTGTAATTTGATTACTTCACTATTTACTTCATGTAAAAAGTAATCAGATTAATAATTACTTTGAAGTTACTTTTAAAACATATAAAATATACCTATTAACAATACAAAATAACCTTCAGCTCTCTCCGTAATTTACTAATCACTGAAAAAAACATTACATTGGGTTGATCACAGCAGCTCGACATATTCATAAGACCACATAGGTTACCCAAAACTTAAAATTCTCTAAACATATACTTATTCCAAACCTTTTTTGAACACAAAAAAAGACATGAAGAAAATTGGATGCCTATAACTATTGACATTTATAGTATAAAAAAACACTGCAGTGTTTGAGTGTTCTGTATTTGTCTGAGATATTTAGTCTACCAAAAAGTGTATATTCCATATGAGCTTGAAGCTGATCAATCCTTGAGGTTTTCAACTGGTGCCCCTGGAAAATGCGAGAGCACATAATATGCGCTTCAAATATGTGTGCGCAAGCCACAGGTCTCCATTGGAAATAATGAACTTGCGCACAAAAGATATGATATGTAAACAACCCCATAAGCATCTATGCTTCTCTTCACATTCAGAAGATATCTTCACTCCTGATTCTGCACAAAAATCTTATTTAACGTGTTTAGGCTGAGTGTTTTTGGGTGCCGGTGTCCTCCTTGGTGACGAGTATTTTCAAATAGAATGCTTTCTGTTCAAGTGCTTGAAGAAGTTGCTGGTTGAGTTAAGAACAGTTGAAAGTTCTTTAAAGACTGGACATGGACTGCATGAAACCCATCCATGTTGGGCATTTCTTATGGAGAATAATGCTCTTTAACTTTTAGGGGTTTTTTTCACTTGTCTTGATTGCTAATCTACAAGACATGATAATTAGGTTAAACATTGAGGATACATTTCCATATACGTTTATATTTTAGCACTTTGGAAATTGACTGCATGATTTTAGCCCCAATTTTGACTCGCCGGCAGGTTTTGAGAAATCGCAGACAAATGCCTGAAATCACTGGCAAATTGGTGCACGTTCACGTGAGTAGTGAACTATCATGACACGATTTGAGAGAATTGCAGATGAGTTGCAGACACCCATGAGATATTTGGCATGCTAAACTTCTGAACCTGTCGGCGATTCAAAGTCATGCAGTGTGAAATGTGTTCTTATTGAAAATAACATTGACGGTTACCAACAGCCAATGAGAGGGCAGCATCCACTAGTATGGGTACCTGCAGGCCAGCAGGAGGTTGAGGGAGAAGTTTAGCTTCTTTTCAGTTTGTTCTGACCCAAGAAATAGAGGAAAAACTTTTTTGTCAGGAGCACCCGTCTGTTTGAAGTGTCATCTGAGCATTAATACAACCATGTCAAAAAGGAAAAAAGTTTAGGAGAAATTTTTAATTCCCTTCAAAGGCAAGGTGAGCAAGTTAAGTACATTTTCTATCCAACTAAAGGCTTCTTCTTTATTACGCAGTTAATACCAAAAGATATACTACATAGCCTTTTGTTGTTTCCATGTCACTTTTTGCGTGTGTTTGGTTGTGAGATGTAGTTTGTGGATCAAGAAAAAGTTGTCTGCGATTCTTGCTAATGTAAAGTTATGCAGTGTGAAACCCTCTGTTGCCCATTAATTTGCAGTGTAAAGAAGGCAGCAACGAAATGCTATCCTAGATAGTAATTCAGTGTCAAAACATCTGTGACACAACTAAT